AGATATAAGACAGTTTTTTTTCTATTGAGGGGCTTCCTAAGATTAGATCATATCAGCATTTAAAAGAACACACACTGTTTCATTTTAATATCTTTTCCAAGAGAGCGGTATAATTTGTCTTTTTTGTCTGTGTTGTTTATCACACAGACTTGGTTTATTAGGGACTTAGGCTGTTGTGAAAAAAATCTGTAGGTGTTATTAGGCTTCATAATAAAGCACAGCTGTACTGAATTATCATGTCAATTTGAGGTCATAATTTTGTGCACTACTGAAAACCTATTGAAGAGACTTCCTTGATTTTATTATTTAATTATGTCATTCATCACACAGCACATATGTCATTGATTTGCCAACAAACAAGCAGACCAATCCAGCGACTTTAAATTATGCCCAGTGGGACATGTAAGGAAGGAAGGTGGGATTAAATTTAGGACAGAAATCATCTGAATGAATTACTTTTTTGCAACTTTACACCATTATTTCATAATTAATCATGAGACAATTATTGCCATTTGAAATACAATCACATGGCAATCTACCCTCCCAAAAAGCACAGAATAACACATGTTGTCTTGTATCATACCATGAATAATTTAGTGATGCAATTCGATTTCTTAATTATAACATATGTTATCCCTATAGAGACATGCTGGCAAGTGTCTAAAATCGTTGCAAATGTTTTATGATCATTTTAACAATTGTTTGGGTCTGCAGTGTATGCAACAACCAAAATATTAAACATGTTTTGGAAGTGTATAGCTTGGCTACATACAAACCTGTTATACCAGATGCAGAGATCTCTGCACTTTGAAAAAAACAACCAGTGTTAATATTGACCCTGGATTTTAAAGATAAATTGACCAATATATCCAAAGAACTTTCATAAATACCTTAACATTTTTAAATTAGAAAAATCATGTAGCTGATGTCACAAAGGCCTAGTCTATACTTAAGGTACACAACTCAAGGTACGCACAATGTGTGGCTGGAATTGGCTTACTTTTAGCCATGCCTTGGCGGCATCCACACAGGGGGAGGCTCAGGTTCCCTTACTCCTTGCAGAAGAAATACTGGATGCTGGGGGGGCGGACTGCCCTCAGCATTCAATTTTTGAGTGTATATTAGACCCACTAAATCGAACGCTAGAAGATCCACCTCTGGAGCATCGATCTACTAGTAAATACAGAGTGGTTTAAGTCAGTAAAGATTTACAGATCAAGGCGCTTACTTGGATGTCAAACTGGTATAAGCAAGAACAGAATCAGACCCAGTTCTTTTGAAATAGCTTGTACGGTACTATGGTTTAAAATGTGTGTTCTGTAAAATACTACAGTACTTATATTAAAATTAGCATTGAATTGGAAAACCTGAGTACCAGATCCTACCTTACTTTAAGGCAAGTTTGTGCTGTTGGAAGCTCACCTATTGTCCCAGGTTTGATCCCTCATTACCAGTGCCTGACTTGGGGCATCATATAATATGTATTTATATGGAAATGATTATTGCTGGAGAAAGTGGAAGGCCTAATGGCAAATACAGGCAGTCTCCGAGTTACGTGGATCCGACTTATGTCGGCTCTGCAGTTACAAACGGGGCTTTTCTCGCCCTGGAGGACGCGAGCAGCGGGACGCCCAGATGCGCCGCTGTCCCGCTGCCCGCGTCCTCCGAGGCTTTGCTCCGCATCTCCCTGGTCTGCTGGGGGAGCCCCCTCCCCCCAGCAGACCAAGGAGACGTGGAGCAAAGCCGCGGAGGATGCGGGTGGGACCGCGGCGCGTCTCGGCGGGCCCGCCCCCCCCGCCTCCCTGGTCTGCTTGGGGGGGGTGCAGCTAGTGTGCCCCCCCAGCAGACCAGGCTTTTGTTGTGGACCCTGGGGCAGAGCAGCTGGGGCGCAGGCCCTTGGGGCCGCCACTGCGATATGTAAGTGGGAACTGGCGTCCAGATTCAGCAGCTGCTAAACCTGACCAGCAGCTGATTCCAGGAAGCCCAGGGCAGAGCAACTCTGCCTCGGGCTTCCTGTAGTCAGCCGCTGATCAGTTTCAGCAGCAGCTGAATCTGGACGCCAGTTCCGACTTGCATACAAATTCAACTTAAGAACAAACCTACAGTCCCTATCTTGTACATAACCCGGGGACTGCCTGTACTAGTTATTGGGTATAGACCAATGACTAAGGAAATCCAGGAAGAAAGTGGAAAATGTATGTGAAAGTATCTGGGATTATGTTGTTATTGGCATGGATATTCCTTTTGCTTGACAGCTGTACTTTTTGATAGCCAGATATGTGCAGTATCCTCCTAAATTTTGGTCCAGAGGACTTAAATCCTATTCCTTTATTGCCAGGCCCGAAATACTGCATTTCCACTGCTTGTAGATATATGGAAAATTCTGCACCTCACTGAAAACGTTGATGCATAGCTCTGTGGGGTTTTTACATAGCTTACTATGGAGAGGGTTACATTAATGATGTGAAAGAAAACAGTGAAATCATACACAGCAGAGATCCATTGGCACCAAATGGAGAAGCATCTGTTGTTCCCACTCATACTAGATATTGAAATCAACAGTACAAGTCATAGTCTGGCTATGTGGCTGCCTCCATCAAAGCTTGTGGTTTGTGGAAGGGATAATCTATCCTATGTAACACCTGATTAGTTCCTCTCAGTTTAGACATTATTTTACATCAACATGTTTACCTTTAGTTTTCCTCTTTTATTTAGCATATGGTCATGGTACTAGAGTAACCTAATAGTTTGTAGTGTTCTTTGAGTTGAAATATGCTTTTCAAGTAGAAGTTGTTACTGTATTTTATTTTAAAGTTGACATCTTGGTCCTATATTCTATGTTCCTTCACCATCCATAGTATCAGAAGCTACCTCTCCATACTACAATTTTTCTATCTGTTGAGCCTCTTGAAAATATAAAGTAGCTACATCCTTCAATATTGTTATTTTACACCATTTATTATATAACTGCATTGATCATTATTACCTGAGTGTAGGGTTCTGTGATCCCTTAGCTCAAATTCATTTTAAACTCCTCTGCAGTTCATTGAGGTATACAACATTGGGTGGAAAACAGAAGCAAGAGAAAAGTGAAATGGTGGGTGAATCTTGACCTATTCTGTTTTGGTCATGTTAATTTTATAGAAAATACTTTAAAACTAAATAAAATGAGACAAAGCCAAAAACAGAATGTTTCATAGAACAAAAAAGAAAGCCATGATCAAAATGCATCTCTGAGCTACATAATGAAATTATAAAAGATTCATGTAATGAAATTGATCTACATTGCCTTGACATTTACAGGTCAAACATGTCTTCTCACAGTTGTACCAACTTTTGAAAGATACGCACATTTATTCTTATTTTTTACAGCTGTATTTAAACTATTTGCAGTAGAATATCAATGATATCTACTAATGGCCTGGAGATACATGTGAATTGCTGACTCTTCTGTTTTGAAAATTGAGCATTAATTATTTGTGGTACTTCACTGTACTGTTCAATATATGATGTGTTTTCAAAAAGTTATGATGTCTTAGTGATATGAGACCTTGTTGGAGCCCTTGGCAATTAAACTACTCCAAAAATTGGGAGATAGGACAATAGTTTTGTATTGTGTACAAATTCAGGCTGGGGGTGGGGGGGAAACCTTAAGAAAATTTTGTCCAGTTATGACATGGTTCTTAAATTGGTTTGTCCAAGACGAAAATATAGTAGCTTCAATTTTTGTAGCCAGCATAATTAGCCACATGTAATCTTCCTAAAGAGAAATTGGAAGGAATATGAAATAGAATTTAGTACAGTAGTGGACTAAGTGGGAAAGTCATCCATGTCTTCTGTAGTCTGATGGTAAGAAAGAAATTGCGATAGGAAGCCATTGTTTTCTTTTCAACTTCTGATCACAGCAATGAGGATTCTTAAGTTAGGTTTTTAGGACTATCTTCTGGACAATAAATAATCACATTTTACCAGCACAGACTGCATTGGTTGTTTTGGATAGCCAGACAATGGTATTTTTCCTAACATATACTAACAAAGGGTTGATGAGCACAATTTTAAGGTGCATTTATTAAACAGGAAAAAGCTATGCTAAAAATCATGTTAAAAGATCTTTCTGCACAAAGGCACTATTTCCTTTGCATTGAGTATGATGTCTCCTTGTTTTGTGGAATATAAGTCCAATTATTTATTTATTTTATGTATTACATTTTCTATTAAAGGAGTTTGCCACTGTACAACTTGAACGCCATAATGGTTTAACTTCATCATCATTAGCATCTGATCTTCCTCTCTGTTCCTCAGTCTCTTTCAGATCTTTTCTAATCCTGTTACTACTATAGTAATTAGGCTTCTTGAAGGGAAGTCAAGGCTGCAAACAACTTTTGGAGCATGCCATTCTTTGGAATGAAATGCTTTTCTTGTCAAAGTACATTTTATTAAGAGCGTATTGATTTTCATAGTTGTTGGTGTTCTGCAGCAGATTGGTTATTATGCCCATGAATAATGCACTAAGGGCAGATCGAATGCCCACTGTAGTCAGTGGGAGTTTCTCCATTGACTTCAATGGACTTTGGGTTGGTTCCCATACTAAGATAAAAAGGAAATATTGGATTCATTGGATTCAGATGGGTAGCTGTGTTAGTCTGTAACTTTAAAAGCAACTTTTTACAAATAACAAGTAGACCTGTGGCATCTTAGAGACTAATAAATACATAGAGTATCATGCGCTTTCGTGGGCAAAACCTACTTCTTCAGATGAGATGATCTTAAGTGATGATCTTGGATTTGTTGGTGTTGCACTGGTGTAAGTCTGGGGCTAATGTCAGTGGACAAAGACTATATAGGCTTAGTTCTTTAAAGTAGCACCTAGTAATTACATTTATAGCAAGATTTATAGATTCTAACTTGACAAATGGACTGTTCTTTTAATAACGGCTTATGATTTAATTAAGTAAAGGAAACTATATTACTAATGTATTATGATATTTTCATTGATTTAGGCAGGACTAAGGACTCTTCATGACATTGGCCCTGAAATTCGTCGAGCTATATCCTGTGACTTGCAAGATGATGAACCTGAGGAACATAATCATGAGGAAGAGGAAGATATTTATAAAGTAATTCCTGAGAAAGTAACCACATACAAGATTGCCTTATTATCTGTTTTTATGTTTATAGAAGGAACACTTGGGCTGCGTCTAGACTAGCATGATTTTCCACAAATGCTTTTAACGGAAAAGTTTTTCCATTAAAAGCATTTGAGGAAAAGAGTGTCTAGATTGACACAGACGCTTTTGCGCAAAAGCACTTTTTGTGGAAAAGCGTCCGTGCCAATTTAGATGTGGTTTTGTACAAGAAAGCCCCGATCGCCATTTTCGCCATCGGGGTTTTTTTGCGTAAAACAGTTTTTACCTGTCTACACTGGCCCTCTTGCGCAAAAGCATTTGTGCAAGAGGGCTTATCCCTGAGCGGGAGCATCATAGCATTTGCGCAAGGACACTGACAATCTTACATTAGATCGTCAGTGTTCTTGCGCAAATTCAAGCAGCCAGTGTAGACAGCTGTCAAGTTTTTCCGCAAAAGCAGGTGCTTTTGCGGAAAAACTTGCCAGTCTAGACGCAGCCTTGGACTGCACATACTAGAATATGTTAAATGATTATGCAAATATATGGACAAAACCCAGTGTTAACAAAAGGACAAATTTTATCCCATTCAGAAGTTAACTGAAATATTTTTCCTGTTGATGACAAAAGTAAGGAGAAGTTGCATGTCCACAATTTCAAGTTCTGTTAGGCCAATGAGGGAGCAAATTCTAGCATCAAAGTCTATGTGCTACCCATTCTACCCCAGAAGTCCAAATCAAGTGTAAGTATCACAGCTATCTCAGGTGTTACAGTGGTAGATAGGAAAATAGATGGATTCTTACATAGCCAAGCCCCAGACTAAGACATCATAGTTTAAAATCAGCACCTTGAATTGCACATAAAAGCCAATTGGAAGGCTTAGAATAATACAGATAAAATACCAACTATTATGGCAGACACTTGTCCTTAAGGGGGAAGCTACTTTCTACATTGGATGCTCCTTCTGAGTCGTCTTCTGGGCGCCCATTTAAAGCATGCTACAGTTGTCTAGTCTGGAGTGCTAAAAGCAATAAATGTGGTAAGTTCCACATCCAAGAAACAGGTTCTCAGATATAGCTAACAAGCAAGTATGTGTGTGTTTCTGCAAAAAGGAATGTTGGGTTCTGTCACTGTTTATGGGGTCATGTTTTTAATTGCTCATTAATATTTGGAAGGCTGTTCTATATTTAAATATATGAACATTTTAAATGTTTACAAATTTTAGCACAAATGTTTATTTGTGCAAAAATGCGTTCAAGAAATACATTATTTCTTTTAGCCCATTTAAAAAAATGTCATGTGTCTTATTTTTTTTTAAACAGAGGAATGGTGCCCTGTTTGGAAACCATATAAATCATGTTAGCAGTGATAGGAGAGATTCTTTTCAACAGATCAATACCACACATCGTCCCCTGCATGTCCAACGGCCTTCAATTCCATCTGCAAGTGATACTGAGAAAAACATATACCACCAGACCTCAAATTCTGTATTCCATAACCATCATAATCACAATTCAATAGGAAAGCATGTTCCAAACTCAACAAATGCGAATCTCAATAATGCCAATATGTCCAAAGTTGCTAATGGAAGGCACCCAAACATTGGAAATCATGAGCACAGATCTGAAAATGGATACCATTCATACTCCAAAGCTGATAATGGGAGGCATAGAAGATCAAACAGTAAAAGGTAAACTTTTAGATATTTGTGTATAAAAAAATAAACACACTAAGAAAGAGCAGTAATTTAAAATAGTGTAGTGCTACTCCAAAACTTATATTGTGCTACTTAAAATAAACAGTTCTTGATGTATTAGATAACAAGGATGGTGGTAGAGGTAGTGGTAGCTTTCATTTTTCTTTTCTAGTGTATTGAGAAATATTTATAATTTAATAATATATGTAACACAGCAGTCCATATAATCTAGTAATACGTGGTCTCAAAGTGTTAAATTATTGTGGTTATTTTAAAACAAATCCATTGGACTGTCATAGCATAGAATGAGGGCAGTCACCATTAATAGTGAATTTCTGAAAATTATTTTGCTTGATATAAAAATGTTGTCTCCATATTTTTATGGCTTTCCTGGATAGAACACGCTATTATGAAACTTATGTTAGGTAAGTAATTATTGTTTATGACATATATTTACATTGTGAAACAACCTTAAAAGCTCCCAGTAGTTTTTTACAATGAAAAAAATAATAAAATAGCCAGCATTAACTGGACTCAAAGTTAGACTACCTCAAGTGTGGAATAAAAAGGTACACAATTATTACAAATTTGTGATGATTATATGGGACTAATTTTGGCCTGTGTGTCCAACATGGTCTGATTGAAGTTCAAGACTAGTAGAGAACTTGATCCTGCATTATTAAACTTGAGCAGGAGGTTTGGCAGTGACGTCAGTGGATATAGGACCCTGCCCGAAGCATAGTTTCTGTTTTAAAAATGTCAAATTAATCCTATTTCCCTTAGAGTTTAGGAGATTAAAAAGTATGCAATGTTAAAGATATTGTTGTAAGAATTATTTAATGATAGCTAATGATATTCATTTTTATGGGAAAGGAAAAGATAACTCATTTAGTGTCTCATGAATGTTAGAGGTCAGTCAGAGGGCAGCTCCTGAAAAGAGTCTCTTAATCTAGTAGTTTTTATATCTAGAACTTGTACAACTGTTTTCACACTTCGCTTTGAAAGACTTCACTAAATGCTCTTTTATATTTTGCCCACTGGCAAATTTTAGGTATTTGAGAAACTTTTTCACACATGTACTGTATACTTCCAGCTTGAAAGACTGATTTAAATGTGCTTGACTTTGCTAACTACTCAATGGAACTGCAGAAGCATAGTAAGTCTACTATACTTCTTGGGCCCTGCAATTGCAGAAGCAGTAAGATTAGCCCCTTAAAACAGAGAAGCAAGGACAGAATACCCATGTACCCATCTGAAGTCCAATGGGAGTTAGTAAAGTATCAATCCACCTACAAGAGAACTAGTATGCCAGTCTTTTTTTTTTAAGCTGTGGTAAAAGTGCAGGTTTAACTATAACAATTAAGGATAAAGTATAGTGAAATCCCAATCCACTGTGTACCAACTCTAGGTCAGACTCTGGTGATGGGCATCTACCAACTATTTGCCGTGAAGAGCATGAAGTTCGGGATTACTGCAATGATGATCATTATTTGGGAGAGCAGGAATATTTTAGTGGAGAAGAGTATTATGAAGAAGACTACATGTTGTCCGGAAGCAGGTGAGATCATTAGTCATAACTACAGAAAAGTTAATAAATTATGTACATACACCTAGAGTTACATTAAACACACTTTATACCTTAAAATATCATGGATCATTTTTAGGGAAATAGAACAACAGTCAATAAGAATACAAAATATACTCAAGCACATTTCATGTTTGGATATGAAATGAGACCCCAGCAAATCCCTAGTACGTAATTCTAGAGAAGCAACAAAGGAACTTAATACATTTGGACAGTGAGAAACTCTACAGTTCAAAGTCAAATAAGGCCCTACATTTACTGAGGGAAAACATGAACACTACTGGAGATAAGGCCTGTGCCTGCTCCAGTGAAGTGAGTGATATAACTCCAGCTAACTTCAGTGGCAGCCAGATCACCCTGACTTTTAATGGAACCATCAGATTTTAATGCTGATTTATTTGATTCAATAATCTCAGCAGAAGGAAGGATGATAATGAGACAAGTAAACTATATGACTACATATAGTATTAATATGATCAAATAAAGTACAAGAACAACCTCCATTTAACAGTTCTCATTGCATCACCTTTTTCTATGTACCTGGTACAACCAGTTAATACTGTGGTTTCTACCCTTGCCTTTACATACCACTGTATTATAAATATTTAGTATTACACCCAAGTCATGTCTTTCACAAGAATTTCATAGATTGAATATGCAGAATTGCTGAATGAGAATTTAATACATATTCATAAGCCTGATTAAATGCCAGTTTACGTTAATCTGAGTCCACATCCTTTCCACCCCAGCCCCTATTTTAATTGCTGAGGTTCAGTTTTCCTACCCAATTTCTCCCCATTTTTGGACTTGTTTGGATTTCCCTAAATTTCCATTTGAAACTTATTTCCTACAGTATGAATATTTCAGTCTAGCAGCATTCTTAGAAGGCTTGTTCTAACAACAGTGTCAACAATTCTATGATTTTCACGTTCAAAAGTTTAACTTCTTTTATTGCTATTATTTGTCCAGATTTAATCAAAAACTGCTTATCTATACCATGTAGGTCCAAGCGTTCCTCCTTCAGCTTGGATTCATACAGGTTTCTGAATTAGGCAAAGGGCAGTCGTTAGATAATTAGGATGCCCTCTTTTGACTTTCCTTACTTTTAGAACAGTCTGTATATTCATGGTCTTGTCATTTTACTGGGCTAACATTGCATTGAACAGATCTCCTACTTATTTGGCAACAATCAACGTTCTCTGTTTTGCAAACTTCGTGTAACCTTTTATCAAACATATCAAATGTTTCAGACATCCTGTTGGAAACCCATGTATCATAAATTATATACAGATTTGTACTTCTAGAACTAAAGATAGCTTGTTTACATCTTCCTTACAAAAAGCTACTGTCCTCTCTCCTAAATTGCTATCTAGTGAATTCTACCTGTTCAACCAACAGCCTCACAAAAGTCTCAGTTTTAATTTGCACGATCAGGCCCACTACAATATCATTAGTTGAATCCATTGCTTACTTGTCCTATGCTCATAGCCACATATTTATATGCTCATAGCCACATATGCCAAACATAACAATTTTCTGTACTCTTAGTCCAGGTGAAGTCTCCACTTTCTTTTTTTCCCCATGCCCTACCTGTAGTCTAGACAACTCAAATTGGCACATGGCCCGAGACTGATTTGGTCCATCGAAGTTAGCAGCTAAGAACGCCCTTCTCTCATTTTGGATATAATATTAAGCAGAATCAAGTAAGCCTCTTTTGAGGTTTTTCTTTCAGAGAGGAGGTCTTTGTAATATTCAAGCAGCAACAGTCTGAACTCTTTGTGCTGAGCCCTGCAGATTACCCAGGAATCATATGGAAAGGGGGGAGTAGGAAAGTGTTTCATATGGAGGAGGGATAGCTCAGTGGTTTGAGTATTGGCCTGTTAAACCCAGGGTTGTGAGTTTAATCCTTGAGGGGGGCCATTTAGGGATCTGGGGCAAATCTGTCAGGGATGGCACTTGGTCCTGCTGTGAGGGCAGGGGACTGGACTTTGTGACCTCTCAAGGTCCCTTCCAGTTCTATGAGATAGGTGTGTGTGGAGGGTAATGTTGAGGCCTTGAGTTGCATTTCTCTGTGATAACAATAACACTGACATCAAGGATTCCATCTACATGATTTTATGCCAAGCATAATTTTATTTAATAAAAGTTAATGCATGATTTATTCTAAACAGTCCATCATATAACCATTATCTCATAATCTGTGCACAATCAGAAATCAATATGTTAATAATGAGTCATGTTTTTCCAGATATTATGTTTAGTTTTCATGCTGTGGCAAGTACCAATGTAAGAACAATGCCTGGAGTCCTTTGGGCTGGTAAACAAAAAGGCTAGTGATCAGTTAATTTGAAATTTCCCATATTAACAATATGTTTATTTAACTCAGGCACATGTATGACTATCACAACAGACATCACTGCAATGACTTTGATTTTGAGCGTCCAAAAGGTTATCATCACCCACATGGATTTTTTGAGGAAGATGATTCACAGATCTGTTATGATTCAAAAAGATCTCCTAGGAGACGGTTGCTACCTCCAACACCTACATGTGAGTATAGTAGGACCACCTAAGTGCCTAAAATTTTTATCACTGAATATGTGTTCCATTTTATACAGCAGCAAGGATGAAAAAAGGGAAATATGCCTGTCGACCTTAGCATCACTCTCACCATCATTCCTTGTGATTTTTTTTGAGGAAAAAAAACCCAATGACTGGTATATTTACCAACTTGCAGACAGCAGATGCAAATATGTCTATCTTGAGATGCAGCCCACAGAATCTACACGTCCAAGCATGTAACTACATGCCTCTCTTTCATCCCTTATTTCATTAATATGTGACCATTGTGCTTTTTCTCTGCGTATAAAACTGTAGCGAATATATAAAACATTGCAAACAAACAAAGTCAATAGTATCTGTTTACTTTATGAGGTAGGTGAGAAATGGTCAGGTAGGATGCTGCACTGGTTTGCCCTATGTTCAGCTTGCATCAGAAATGTTTTTCTTTGTGCTCGTAGATGGAAACAAAGGTTTATTCTTGTTCACAGGTTTATTATGTTGGTATAAATCAAACAGAACTATTATCACTCTAGTGACTCACCCACTGGCACTTTCCATGTCTCTTTCAACTGAGATATGCCACCTGCTAACATTATTACAGCTTTTATTTGATTTTTTTAAAATGAAAGCAACACAAGTTTTTTCATTTGTTTTTAATTTGGAAAGGTGCTTTTTTAGTTCAGGGCATCTGCACCTGTGTTTACCTTCAGTGGGTAAGAACACTCACTCTCAAGCCTCCACCTCTCTTGTTATTGGGGGAAACTCCACCCACTCCCTTCTCAGTGGGATATCTGTATGCCAAACAATTCTCTGTCTTCACTAAGTGTTTCTCAGCAAAGGCAGTCTGCTTACAACAGACTTGCTCGCTTTCTCTTCAGAGATGGCTAACAGAGTGATTGCTAGAGATATAAGATATCATGCAGCACTTCCTCTTCAAATCTACTTGATTCTTAAGATAAAACACATTGCAGAGAAAGTATATAAAAAGCATTAAAAAAAAAACTTGCATGCATGCTAATACGCTTACCAGACATCATCTGAGCTTTAGGGTTTCAGCTCAGCATAAGCACACAGTCTTATGAGGCCTCAGTAGGCCAAATCCTTCTAGTTCTTCCCTAAGGATTGGGGCCTTCTGTGGATTGGGGCTCCTGCCCATTTGCCAGTTCCGGAAGAAGGCCCTCATTCAGATTAAAGCCCAGGCTTTTATCCAAAAGTATTTTCCTTGTCTGCTGGTCTCTGCAGAATCCAGTTTTAACTGGTGTACATGCACATTTCCAGGGAGGTGACTTGAAAGTCTGATATTGGAGGACATTCAGTGAGCTTCCCCATTCCCTATTAAAGAAAATCCATACAACGTAATAACCACATAAACACAAGTGCATTTTTAATACAGTGTACTACAAAGCTATTAGCTCGAATTTATTGAGGTTTAATTTAACTCAGTAAATCTTATCCTGACTTGGTAAGGTTTGTTCAGGATATTACACAATATTATCAGTCTGTCACAGGTGTTTTGTTAGTAACAATACAAGTAGTTAGTACTCAGAGAGTAGTTATTAACGGTTCACAATCATGCTGGAAGGGCATAACAAATTGGGTTCCACAAGAGTTTGTTATGGGACCAGTTCTGTTCAATATCTTCATCATTGATTCAGATGATGGCAGAGAGAGTATGATTATTAAGTTTGCAGATGATACCAAGCTGAGAGGGATTACAAGTGCTTTGGAGGATAGGGTCAAAATTCAAAATGATCTGGACAAACTAGAGAAGTTTAATAAGGACAAATTCAAAGTACTCCACTTAGGAACAGTCAGTTTCACACATACACAATGGGAAGCCACTGTCTAGGAAGGAGTACTGCTGAAAGGGATTTTGGGGTCATAGAGAACCACAAGTTAAACATGAGTCAACAGTGTGACGGTGTTGCAAAAAAAAGCAAACATAATTCTGGGGTGCATTAATAGGAGTGTTGTGAATAAGTCACAATAAGTGATTCTTCCACTTTGTTCTGCACTGAGTGGGAATATTGTGTCCAGTTCTGGGCACCACATTTCAAGAAAGATGTGGAAAAATTGGAGAAGGTCCAGAGAAGAGCAACAAAAATGATTAAAGGTCTAGAAACATGACCTATGAGGGAAGACTGAAAGAACTGGGCTTGTTTAATTTAGAAAAGAGAAGACTGAGAGGGGACATGATAGCAGTTTTTGGGTATCTAAAAGAGTGTCACAAGGAGGAGGGAGAAAAATTATTCTCCTGGCCTCCAGTGATAGGACAAGAAGCAATGGGCTTAAATTGCAGCAAGGGAGGTTTATGCTGGACATTAGGAAAAACTTCCTAATTGTCAGGGTGGTTAAACATTGGAATAAGTTGCCTAGGGAAGTTATGGAATCTCCATCACTGGAGATATATAAGAGCAGGTTATACAGACAATCTATCAGGGATGACCTAGACAGTGCTTGGTCCTGCTGTAAGGGCAGGGGACTGAACTCGATGGCCTCTCGAGGTCCCTTCCAGTTCTAGGATTTTATAAGTATTTCATAATGTGTGTCTCTTGGTTGCTATAACTGAGTCAGTCTCCATCCATATGATCTTAAAAAACACCACAGATTGATGTAATTTCAGGCTGAATACAGCTAAAATGGAGCTTATGGTGAGTTTTCCCCATTACTTTTGGAGGTAGCATTGCACTTTTAATGGATTTTTTTTTCAAATCCCATTAAAATATTCGGCTACTACTGCTTTTCAAGATCTCTTATTTGAAATTCACACCAGATCATGCATTTTTTATCTCAGAAACATTACTAAAATTTAGTCTGTGTTTTTTCTCTTATATGCAGAAATGATAATGTCTAGTTTTCATTTCTATGTTGAAGTATATACAATAAAACATTCTGTAGATTTCAAGTACTGCAGAACACTTCCAGCACTTTTCTGACATGTAATCCTGTTTTTCAATCATATTTCTACTTTGGCTTCTAATTTTTATATTACTTCAAACGTTGTTCCTCTCATCCTCCAAATCCCAGTGTAGTCCTGATTTACAGAGCAATCCAGCATAAATGGATTAGCCATGAAGTTTTCTGGTGCATCTTAGAGCACCCATGCACTTGGATCTTGATCTTTGAAATGTGATATTTCATGGCATGAGCCATTTTTTTCTTTGTGTGGCTTGAGAAACAAGTAATAATTCTGTGTTTAATGTTAGACATAAAATATTTGATTTCTGCTGCTTATCTGCTTCAGTGGGGAAGGGTCATTAAAGTATAAAATGTCTTAGGACTCATTATGTAAGTCGTGCCATACAAAAGCAGTTTGATTTGTAAAATGTGAAAATGTATAAAGACCCCAAATGTAATACGATTCAGAAGTGTGTCAAGAATTAGTTTTTGTTTGGGAGGGAAGTGTAATAGGGTTGCTGCTATCCTCCCCAGGTTAGGCTCACAAGCTCTTTTTAAAAAAAAAGTAGAAAACTGTAAGGAAAAGCAACAAATATGCAAGCAGTTTTTGTAGTAAATTCTCTAATAATGCTTTCTATGAAGGATTCTCACTTCTGTGTTTCATTAACTCTTTTGATTCTTGATAGTGTTGATAGTGAGATAAAGCAAAAGATCCCTATAGGTCATCATACTGGAGAGCTTTCTGTTAAAGATATCAAGAAAACACTGACTTAGTAAAGGATCCTCTGTCCTTTGGGGAAGCAGGCTCCTATATAGCTTTTTACTAGTCTGATAAAGTTACTGGAAAATCTCAGGTTCTTCCCATCAGTCCAACTAGAGGGTTTGCGTCTACATGATGTGTATAACTCACCTGTATATATAAGTGAGAGAGAAATCTTGGGCTAAAAAGTTCTCTATGCTCTCCTCTCTTCAGGAGAGGTGGAGTGGGAGGTTTCTCTATTGCAACATCCTGTCAGCCCCATTTAGTTTTTTCTCATAAAATGTTGGTGGGCTAAAGTCTTCTCACTCATAGATACTAATAATCTGATAAATCTTTAAAGAAGATTTACCAATGAAAGAGTGCTACACCTAGGCTAGTCTGGACTGGCCAGTTTTTCCAGAAAATCAGCCGCTTTTCCGGAAAAACTTGCCAGCTGTCTAGACTGGCCGCTTGAATTTCCGCAAAAGCACTGACTTCCTACTGTAAGAAATCAGTGCTTCTTGCGGAAATACTATTCTGCTCCCGTTCAGGCAAAAGCTTTTGCGCAAAAGGGCCAGTGTAGACAGCTGAGATTTGTTTTTCTCGAAAAAGCCCCAATCGCGAAAATGGCGATCGGTGCTTTTTTGTGGAAAAGTGCATCTAGATTGGCACGGACGCTTTTCCGCAAAAAGTGCTTTTGCGGAAAAGCGTCCATGCCAATCTAGACGCTCTGTTCCGAAAATGCTTTTAACGGAAAACTTTTCCATTAAAAGCATTTCCGGAAAATCATGCCAATCTAGACGCAGCCCTAATGTTTTTAATACATGGGACATGTAGAACCTGATTCTGATCTAAGTTGCATCAAAGTGATGCAGGGCTAACTCCAGTGAAGTCACTTGACTTAGCTATCATGCCATTACATTAGTTTGAGTCAGGCCTATAGTTGTGAGTGTGTACATACATACTATGGCCAGTTTGAGCTAAACTTCTGGGTCCTGCGCTTCCCAGCAGGTCTTTGTGTGCACCTCAGAGGCTCGTGGTGTCCCTGTCCTGCTGAGTAAGGCCCACTACCCGAGCCCTTTTCATCATCAGCCAGTTCAGGGGTTTTGGAGGTCAGTCCCTCTGATTAGTCTATAGGGTCTCCCCTGTTTCATACCAGCAGCCCATCGGGATGAGAGTTGGGAGGAACCTGGTCCCGCCCACTTGCTCCGGGTTCCAGCCCAGGGCCCTCCAGGGGAGGGGTGGAACCCCAAGTGAGCTGAGGCCTAGCCCTTGCCTCACTGAACAGCAGCCCGTCCCTGGGCCACTTCCCCAACCCTTCCTAGATAACCTCCTCCCTGATGACTTAGGATAGTCCTTGTTGCTGGCTGCCTTGGGTCTGTGGGCTGGGCTGGACTGGGCTGTTGTGTTGTGTTGTTTTGCCTTGCCTTGCCTTGCCTTGCCTCTGGTCCATCTCTTTTCTCCTTCCCCCCCTCTAGCCTTGCCTGAGAGAGGGTTTTTATGGTATGCCCAACAGCCTTAACTGGCAGCAGCTGTTTTAGTTAGGCTTCCCTTCAGGCTGATGCCATATGGGCTTCAGATGTTGCCCTGGCTGGGCTGCAGTCTCTGGCAGTCTATTCGGGGAACATAAAACCACATATGCAGCTCCCCGTGTATCTGCCTTCCACCAGGCTTTTGCAGCCCCCTGCTCTCAGGCTACCACAATACATTTATATATAATGTAATTGTTTGTGAAATATTTTAACACTTTAATGTCCCCAGAAGGATTTAAAAGAGTATCAAATCATTTAATTTTAAATAACATATTGGATGTTTGTGAAGGATACATTTAGGTGTACATTCAAAAACTGGAAAATTTCCATTAGTATAAAAAATGATCCAAGTTAATGGAACACACTGTGCTTTGGGTTGAGTATTGAAGTTTGTTAATAGATTGAGCTCTATTTGGGACCTTACAGCAAAGATGCTATAGAATCAGGCCCAAATCCTCAAAGGTATTTAGCCATCTAATTGTCTTTGAAGTCAGTATCTCTGAGGACCTGGAGCACCCTAACCTCAAAATAAGATATGCAATTTTCACTATACAAATTGAATATCTTATTTCGAATCTATTTCAAAATAGCTTATTTTGGAATTTGGTGCAGTTACACAGCACCAAATTTCAAAATAACATGCTATTTTGAGCCATCCCTTATACCTCATGCAGCAAGGTTTACTGGGATGGTGAAATAGCACACCGTTATTTTGAAAAATATTTTGAAAAATATTTCAAAATAACGGGCTGTTTGTGTAGAAGCAGGGTATCCCAAAATAGCTGTGCAGTGTAGACGTACCCTACGTGATTATTTCTTACCCTCGATCTTCAAATTTCTGTACTTTTCAAAGAGATGTAAAGAATAATTTTAAAGTATTGGTGTAAAGATCTTTGATATGGCTTTCCATGGCTAGATTGCTACCTCCCAGGTTTTTGACCATGAACTTCACATACTATGGAATTTACCAGAATTATGAAAGTCAGCATTGGACAATTCAGACTGGAAATAAGTGTTATATCTTAAACAAATTAAGGTAAACAACAACTGGAAGAGTTTACCAAAGGTCACAGCTGATTCTCCATCACTGGAATTTTGGATGTTTCTAAAAGATCTGCTTTACAAATAATTTTTGGGAAGTTCTGTGGCCTGTTTTTTACAGGAGATCAGATTAGATTATTACAATTGTCTTTTCTGGCCTTTGAATGTTGATTTTCCTAATATCATCAAATGGTTCTTACCTGTCTGAATATTAAAAACGTGGACTCATCTGATGAAGTGGGGTTTACTCACAAAAGCTTATGATCCTATATATTTTTGTATCTGACACATGCAGCTGACAAAAGTGAGTCTTTGCCCACGAAAGCTTATGCTCCAATAAATCTGTTAGTCTATAAGGTGCCACAGGACTCCTCGTTATTTATTCAGATTCAGAATAACACAGCTACTATCCTACCCCTCTGATATATATTTTTGTTAGTCTCTAAAGTGCCACAGGGCTACGCATTGTTATTAAAACATAGTTAGCATAAAAATACTATTTTAGTATACTTAGATGTTTCCAGAATTACACATTACAATGACCTGCAAAGAATCAAGGATTTGGTAACAAGTATCAGAGGGGTAGGTAGCCATGTTAGTCTGAATCTGCAGGAACAATGAGAAGTCCTGTGGCACCTTATAGACTAACAGATTTATTGGAGCATAAGCTTTCGTGGGCAAAGACCCACTTCGTCAGATGCATGTGTCAGATGCAAAAATATGTTCTTATGCATGATGTAGCCTGATCTCTATATATTTATTGAGAGAGATTATTTAAGAATCCCCAATTGCCATTTGGAGAGTCGACAGGTTCTTGTCTCAAAATCAGACCCAATATTATTCAAATTATTATGCAGTTGGGAATTCCGATGTGCACAATTGCAACATTCACACTGCAGGAACTCCTTTATATGTACAAATAGTTTATTGAGACTTTTAGGACAGTCACAAACATCCCAACTCAATAAGGTAGGTAGAGATGATACAGAATGAATCTCCACACATTCATATACTTGCACCATTGTAGTACAGCCTGAAATGTTAGCCATCATCTTCCTCATTACCTTTTCCTGATCACCAGGAGCCATCATTTTAGCACCTCCCAAAAACTACATCTCCTTCCTACCACCCCTTGGCTGGCATGCAACTTTTATAATATGTTGTGTTGATACCACTGTTACACAGAGAATGCTGTAATGGTTATGAAAAGAATTTGAATGTAAACAAAGCTCGCTCTCACTAAAGATATAATTGTCCCTGAATCAAGAAGCGGAGTCCACCTGGCAGATCCCGTATCTCAATCACCGGTGATCTATCAATCTAGTAACAGGCAAACACAAAGTTTAGGGCCAAAACATATATTTAAAAGAATTTGGAAACAGCAAACACAGGAACAACTTCAATTATAATCCATCTTAACCCTAGATAGAAAATAGAAAAAACCCTTAGACAAATAGGATATACATTACAATCTCGCGGTCGGAGCTCGTGACCTACAACTCCTTGGCTATTTTGAAGCCTCAGAGGAGGACCTGCGAGGAGATTCCTTGAAGCAGTAGTCCCAGTCTTTTGTCGTAGGGCTGTCAAGTGATCCTCAACCATATGGACAGTAGCTCTTCTCTGGATATGGTGGTGACTAATCCTTCAGTAAGGCCACCCGATCCGGAAGAATTGTGGAAAGGTGATAAGAGTCCAGCTGTTATTAACTCCGGCCTAATCTCCTCATGCAGGGTATCTCCACACACAGGTGGCATGTCCACATATACCACAATGTCCATAGATGTTAACACATCCAATAGAACTTAGAAACCAGGAAAAGAAAAGGAGGAGAGGAAGAAGAAACCAGAGCCTTCCTCAAACTGGGGCTTTTATTGGCTCTTAGGCGGGAAAAGGGACTTGTGTGTTGGGTGTATTAAATCAGGGTCATGTGCAGCTATTCAGTGGGTTGTGTGCAACTTGGAGGGATGAGTGCAACATTATAGTGCCGAGTGCATAATGTTTTGAGAGGAGTGCACACATAAAGGCCATGTGAAATGCTGACTTTTGGCAGGAAGCAGGAAGCTGGAAGCTTGTGTTCTATAACTGAACACAATTATGGAGGTCACAAAATGGAGGTCACACAGACTCTATTTTACATACCCTATTAACACTGACCAGTATACCCAGGGTAACACCACTATGTTTGATGTATATTCAATAGGGGATTTCCCCTTTTCCTTACTTGTATTTCCTCATCTTATTAATGTTGGAGTGTCTTTTTTCTATATATTATTATATCAGTTATCTTAATATACATTATGCACGTTAATTAGTTACCATGGACCTTCTGTAGTTAGGTATCCGTGGATATAGCTCTTGTACCTGTTACATATGTCTATTCATTGATACCATGCTCTTGTAGTTGGATCATGTACCTGTGGCTAGAACTTCCCTTTACACACACTATTTTCAGCTTCTCAGTTCAGGGCTGGGGAAACTTTTTTGGGTTGAGGGGCCACTGACCCACAGAAAAATCACTCAAGGGCCGCACACAAGTCCGGAGAAAAATGAGAAGCCCCTGAGAAGGAGAAAGACACTCCTCACATTCCCTTCACACGCCAGAGTCTAATGGGGCCCAGGCTAGTAGATTTTGTATTCTCCAGCCCTGCCAGTGGGTGGCAGGGTGGCTGTATCGCCAGCGTGGACTCCCCAATGATAAGCCTTTGGGGCTGGATCCAGGCAAGGTAGGTGTTGCTTCCAGCCTCTGGGCCTGAGGTTCCCCACCCCTGACTTAAGGTTTCCATTGGCAGTTTTTCTGTTCAAAGGTCATAGGCCTTAAGTCTTGTGCTAATTAGATGAAGCTAGTACAGGCTTGTAGATTCCTTGCATTACTACTAATATAATAAAGGCAAGTTAGCCCACTGGACTACAATAAGGAACTTAAAGCTGCAGTAACAAAAGAAACAGTTAACTGTTATTTTAACTATAAACAAGAAGCTTGCAACATATAGCTAAAGTCAAGCAACTTTCCCAATCTGTTTTAAAGTGCTCACTTTGAACCCTTCCTTTGAATGTTGGTTCTATTAATAAATTAATGACTGCATAACACATTTCAGCTCAAACCTTCTCTCCAAATTTGGCTTGTTCCTAGCTTCCGATGAGGACTGCTTAGTCTACATTCTGGATCATTTCTCTAGAGGGCAACTACCCCCTCCTATATATCCCGTTTGTGTATTGAGTTGCTTGCTTCAGTAAGTCAACAGAGCCTTTTAAATCTGCCCCAATAGGCACAATACCTCCTAATAATGTACAGGTGACACTTGACCCATATTGGAATGTCGAAATATTTGACACTGAGAATGATAATCACTTTACTAATGAAACATTGTTACAACTTTGAATGCCTCCGTAGACAAAGCAGTCAAGATGAGATACCTCTCTCTCCCACTTTCCACCACCGCACTGCTTTACCATTGCATTTAATGCAACAACAGGTAATTTAAATTTTTTTATTAACTGATGTTGATTTAGACCAGTTTAGCTTAGAACTTGTACCTCCTGGCTTGCTGATTGTTTGAAAGCCAGTTGATAAGATCTGTACTTAGTGTATCTTGACCTACTTCCAAACAGTTGTCTACATCACCATCTTTGCTGTAGTTGCCAGAAACAAGGCCTCCTAAATCTGTACCTTCAGAAATGACTTCAGCTCATGAGTCTATTTATTTTGATTAGTCTCTAAGGTGCCACAGGAACACTTAGGCTATGTCTACACTGCAAGGTTTTTGCGCAAAAACCCATGAAGCGTCCACACCTCAAATGCGCTTTTGTGCAAGCAAATCAAGAGTAAAACAGCAGAACAGAAGTCTTTTTCTGCCATTGGTAAACCTCCTTTTACAAGGCATAACTCCCTTTCGCGCAAGAGCGGATGCTCCAGAGGGGTTTCTTGCGCAAGAAACCCCTATGGGAAAAAGCACAGGTGCTCTGACGGCCATTCTGCAAATGGCCATCAGAGCTTTCTTGTGCAAGAGCATCGCTGCAGTGTGGACACTCTCTTGCGCAAAAGCACATCGCTTTTGCGATGTGCTTTGAAGTGTGGACGTGCCCTTGCGCAAGAAGTTTTTGCGCAAGAACTCTTACGCAAAAGACTTCTTTGCACAAGAAGCATGTAGTGTAGACATAGCCTTGTTGTTTTAAAAGTTACAGATTAACACAGATACTCTTCTGAGAAACTTGAGGTAGTGTAGAAGATCTTGACACCAAACAGAAATATTATTGGAGATAACATGAAAATATGATGTTACCAACCATTCTAAATGTCCAGTTTAAGACACGTAATCAGATATTGGGTCTTTTAACCACTCTATTAATAGCACTGTGTACCTCCAGGCTTTTTCACACAGCAGTATATTGACACAACTGCTGCAGATACATGGTTATCTTATTTCAAAGCTTTCCTCTGTAGCAACACTACCCTCTATTTTATAAGCACAAAACTTTGCCATGTAGTATTTTACTTTTCATCTTTTCTTTCAGAGAAATTCTACAGTTATGAATGCAGTCTAAGGTCTTGACAGCTGTTTGATTTTTTAAATATATAAGCTTAGTCCCTGCAGATCTATCGAATAAGTGATGAAGAGTACTTAAAAACGCTAATCTGTATTGATGTCTGTACCTTTGAACATAGAGTAATAGGTGGTCACTGTAATGAATGATGATGTGGTGGATTCTGTTAGGAATAATGGAAACATTTTAAAACACTGGAAATATGTAGGATGTGTATTAATAAACCCTCACTGCAGCTCTGTCCTTATACTGTATCCCATCTGCATGAATCAACTATCATTTACTGCTTTCATTCATGGTTACTTTCTCATGTGCTACTTGGTTTAAACTGCATACTATATTCTGTGACTTGTTGAACTTCACCATATTTTCTTTGATTTCTTGATCAAAATTCAAGTAGAATTAAATAGTTTGCTGTTTATAGTATGGTGGATGGCCCAGGGTATGTCTACACTACCACCCTAGTTCGAACTAGGGTGGTGCTTCATTTGCATCTTGCCGGGCACCGCCATTTTTAAAGCCCCGGTAGTTCAGACTCCGTGCCCGCGGCTACACGCGGCACAGAGTACGTAGTTCGAATTAGAAAGCCTAATTTGAACTACCTACTCCGTGCCGCGTGTAGCCGCGGGCACGGAGTCTGAACTACCGGGGCTTTAAAAATGGCGGTGCCCGGCAAGATGCAAATGAAGCCCGGGATATTTAAATCCCGGGCTTCATTTGCAACTTCGGTTGCCTACATTAACCACCCTAGTTCGAACTAGGATGGTAGTGCAGACATTCCCCCAGAGAGTTTGTTGTAGCCAGAGGAGCTCTTAGCCTGAATTATATCATGCCATTCGTCAGGCCTCAGGCAGCCAAAAATACAAGAATATTAAAGCTTCTTTAAAGCTTATTACAGTTGCCACCTCACCTGTTCCTGAAGGAAGGAAGGAGCAAAGATCAGATTGATATACCTACTGAATAATTGCTTAATAAAATATATTTAGCAAGTAAGGCAAAAGATTATATTCTTGATATAATCAAACAGGAATTGGTCAATAAATGAACCACTAGATAGATATAGTTTCTTCCTGTCTTTTATATTGTCAAGTATCAAACATATAAATGTTGCTTCTTGTAGCTGTCTAAATAATTACATTGGATTTGAAATGAGGAATAAGCTTGAACAGGATTGTTTGAGGTATGCTAACTCCTGTATTATCTTTATTTCCCTTGACCAGGTCATGGCAGTTGCAGGTCTGGATTCCAGTAAAGCTCACAAACATTCTCCAAGTCGTTCAACACGTTCCTGGGCAACTCCACCAGCTACCCCACCCAACCGGGACCGTACTCCATATTATACACCTTTAATCCAAGTTGACAGGGCTGAATCTACAGACCAGATGAACGGCAGTCTACCTTCTTTGCATAGGAGTTCATGGTACACCGATGACCCTGATATTTCCTACCGAACATTCACACCAGCCAATTTAACTGTACCTAATGACTTTAGGCATAAACATAGTGACAAACAAAGAAGTGCAGACAGTTTGGTAGAAGCGGTAAGTACTGAATAATTCCTGAAGTAGGCAAGGATATCTGTTCAGTTTTGTGTTAATTTTACTCTATACCTGGCACTTAGATTGCACTTAATTTACATATTTCACTGGAAATACTGTATTTGAAATCCAAATTCCCATCAAGCTTTTAGGTAAGGTAGGGGCTATAAAACAAAGAGGGGAATGAAAATTGGGAGCACTTCAAGAATATAATTTGAAACAAGGTTTTACTGTTTGCTAAGAACTAGATACTGCACTGCACTTACATAATGGCTTATTCAAAAGGAATGGCAAGAGACACCTGTCTTCCTGGTGCTTTCATGAAAGATCCAAACAAAT